AACCTGGAGGGTAGGGAGTGAGGGAGAGGCTAACTCCATCAGATTGCCTATAGGTAAGTCTATAAGGTCCTTTCTTAATTAATAATGAATGTCGGAAGGCTCAGCCCACTGTGGGCAGTGCCACCCCAGGCCACATGGTTCTGAGTTGTGTAAAAAAGCAGACAGAACTAGCCATGAAGAACAAGCTAGTAATAGTTAGCAGCATTCTTTCATGGCCTCTGCTTCAGTGCCTACCCTCCAGGTTCCTGCTTTGAGCTCCTGTCCTGACTTCCCTCAGTAATGAACTGTTACCTGAAAGCATAAGATGAAATAAACCTTTTCTTCCCCACGTTGCTTTGTTAAGTATTTTATCAGAGCACTGGTAAACATGGGTTGCCCTGTGACCTCTCTAGCACCCTCACAGCACCAAGTCCTGTCACAGCACTCACTGACACTACAATTCCAATATTTGTGTCTGATGAATTTCTATAATAATAAATGGACCACAACTTCAAACAGGGTTAGGGCTATATCTATTTTACTCTTTGTCAAAGTAACCTGAGAATGTCTCAATAGCTACTTGCTGAACAGATGAAGGAAATGAATAAAGAAAAATGATGTCTAAGAAACACGGGAAGATGGAATGTTTTCAAGGAAGTAAAATAAGATTGTCGTTAAATGAGTCACTTCGTGTCTAGAAACCTTTGCCCCTAAGCACATGAGTTAAGATATAAGAACAGAGTACTAACACATTTCAAATGCATCATAATCGTAATAGCAGAGTAATTCAAACTACATTTAATATTTCAGTTTAGCAATATTAGCATGTCAGCAATGGTCTACTCACTGGTTCCAAAAATTACAAATATCGATGACAAGGCCATTTTCTCTTACACACTAAACAGAGAAGATCATTATAAAGAGTACTAAAGTTATAGATTACCTTCATCAATGTACCATGGATTTTTGGACTTGGATTGTTGTGAGTCAACAGATGACCCATTTAAAGTATAAAATAATTCAGATCTGTTTCTACTTCCAGGGTCTGAGGTAGATCCTGTAGAACAGGAAAAATTCTTTTTTTAAAAAAAGGTCAATACGGTGTAAAAGATATTTTTATAAGTAAATTAATATGAATATTATGTACCAACTACTCATACAGATAACAGACATTTACAAACAGTGTACTTTATTGCTGTCTTCAGCTTTAAAAGTTTAGTAATTGGTCAATACAAGTGAATGGGAACAAGCTAATGCCTGCTTACTTTTATATTAAAGCTCTAAGAAATCATTTCACAAGCATACACCTTTAATTCCAGCAACAGAAAGGAAGAGAAAGATGGATCTGAGTTCAAAACCAGCCTGGTCTACAGACCAAGTTCCAGGACACCCAGAACTACACAGAGAAGTCCCATGTCAAGAAAAAAAAAATCATTCCATGTAGTCTATTTCTCAATGTCAAGATTACCTCCTTTCGTTCCATTTGATGAAACTACTGATTCACAAGTTTAAACTATTACAGTCATACCGTACAACAGTAGTTCTCAATCTTCCTAGTGCAGGGACCCCAACCATAAAGTTATTTTTGTTACTACTTTATAACTATACTTTTGCGGTTATGAATCTATCTCTGTACTTCCCAATGGTCTAAAGCAATTCCTGTGAAAGGACATTTGACCCCCAAAGGGATCACAGCCCATGGGGTGAGAGCTACCATATAAAGACATTACAGTTTACAAGAGAACCAACATGCAGCAATGTTATAGAGCCTAGATATGCATGCAGTTCTATTACCAAGATTTGTGTAAGTGCATTCCCTGAGAGTCACAGAAAAACACAACTGCCTAATAATGGACTGCTCAGAATGTATCCCATAAAGTGACTTTTGATTATAATTTCCCTTTGTAATCTTCAAATGCTATAATCAAACTGATGACAAATTAAAAACATTTTTTTTTTCATGTTTAGGCAAGGTATGTGGCTCAGTAGTAAAGTCCTGGCTTAGTTTGTGTAAGGTGCTAAGCTTGATCCCAGCACCACCACCAGAAACAAAAAACAAAACAAACCATAACTTCAGTGTCTGGAGCTATACCTGAGTGAAGTACCTGCCAAACCACATGTAAGGTTTTGTTGACTTTGATTACAAACATTACAAAAGAAATAATAATTTAATTTTTTTAGATCTACTATTTAAACATCTTAGAATTTTACTAGTAAAACTTCATTTTTTATATAGTTTGAGGGGAAGGACTTTCAGAGGACCTCTGGGGCAGTCTGTCAATGGCCCTAGCTATGATGCTTGTGGCACCTTCTTCACCTCAGGTGGAGGCCATGTTTAGCTCGAGTGCCAAGACTGTGAAGTCCAATGGCAGAAGCCCAGAGAGTTTGAGTCTGCCATCTCTCAGGCACTGCTCGAGCTAGAGATGAACTCAGATCTCAGACATAGCTGCAGGAACTCAACATCACCATGGCCAAGGAAATTGAAGTTGGTGGTCCAAAAGCTATATTAACTTTTTTGCCAGTTCCTTGGCTGAAATCCTTCCAGAAAATCCAAGTCCAGCTACTTTGTGAAATGGAGAAAAAGTTCAGTGGGAAGCAAGCAGACTGCATTGCTGGGGGAGGACTCTGACGAAGCCAACAAGAAAAAACTGTACAAAAACTAAGTGAAAGCACCCAGAGGCTGCAACCTGACGGCAGTGCATGACGCCATCCTTGAGGGTTGGGTCTTCCCAAGTGAGACTGTGGGTAAGAAAACAGTGAGGAACTGGCTGAGCAGCTGGCTCTGAAAGGTTCACCAAGACAAAGCACGGCAGAACAATGTGGAGCACATGGTCAAAACTTTGTCTGGTGTGTAAAAGAAGCTCACAGGCAAGGATGTTAATTCTGAATTCCCAGAGTTTCAATTTTAAAGAAAATGATTGAATAAAGTGTCATTCATAGTAATAAGTAAATAAATGAATAAATATAATTTCTTAATTTCCTCATGTCTGAAAAAATGAAGCACCATAATTTCTAACACTTTAGATTTATTAAAGGGCAAATTATACTAGAGATTAATTATGTGGGTCTTAATAACTATATTTAATGCAAGTTGAATTCTAAAATGCTAAGTAAAAATATATTTCTCTACCAGAATCTCCCTCATGTTACATGTAGAGGTCACACAGCTCTTTCTACTAGCTTCCACATCCCTCACAGGTTTATAGCAATGGTTCTCAATCTGTGAGTCATTCAACTTGGGGGACTCACATACCAGATATTCATTGTAATTCATGACAACAGCAGAATTACAGTTAGGACATAGCAACAGAACAGTTTTATGGTTGGGGGTCCCCACAACACAAGGAACTGTATTAAAGGGTCTCAGTACTAGAAAGGTTGAGAACCATTGATTTATAGGGTGATAGTTAAATCAGAAGAAAGTAGACCTGCATCACAAACAGGTACAGACACTTCCCTGCCTCAGTCTTAGCTACAGAGACACACTCCGTTGGTGATCAGTACGAATTCCTCAACCCATACTGAAGCCCACTGTTTTTCAATTTCAAGTAAAAAGCTCCACCTTTCACAGTTTAGGTCATACTTCATGTGGTATACCTGTAGCCAGCTACTCAGAAAGCTAAGACGGAGCAATCATCACCAGAGTCCAGCAGCTTAAAGTCAGCATAGAAAACATATCAAGACCCCTATCCCCAAATAAGAAATCTATAGCTTTTCTATATCTGAGAGTAGTGATCTTATGGAATGTTTTCTGTGTGTATGACTTGTAGGTATGTGTATGAGAAGATATGTGTGCGTGTGTGTTAGTCCTCAACAGCTAACTGTTTTGCTTTCTTTGAAGAGGGTCTCCACTGACCTGAAAGTTGCCAATTAAAATAGGCAGGCTGGCTGGCTAGTAATAGCTAACAAGTCTCAGGAATCTCATTGTCTCCATGTCCCCAGTGTTATGTCAAAAGGAAACAATAAATCCTCAAACTCCAAAAGGCAGTCCTAGACTACAGGAAGTTTTCTCGTAGTTAGATAAAAGCCAGCATTCCTCAGGAACTTGTGAAGCTGGCTCCTCTCTACCAAAAGGAGCCACTTCCCTAGCACTGGTAGAAGGGACAAATGGTTATTTGTAGTGTCTATTAGCATACCAGAGTACATGCTGGCCTCCAGGCTCCCTCGGTACCATAAAGTATCTATTAAACATTTCACAGCCCATGCTTGGCTCACCTCCTCCTCTACCCTAACTCCCTCCAGCTTCCCTACTCCCAGCTACCCATTTGTTCCCTATAGAAAAGCAAGGTTTTCCCCTGCCCCCATTATTCTTGCTTCTCTTGCAAATAGCCCTGGTCATGTCTAGTCTGCTTCTTTTTCTTTCTGCTCTGACTCTTTCAGATGCCTCTGGATGTTCTCCCTCTCTTATCCACAATAAAAACCTCCCCTGACAATTCATGGGGTGGCCATTTTGACAGTTTCTTTACTGCACCCTCATAACCATATACATAAAATTTTAGTTTACATAAAATGTTTGAATTTTATACACACACACACACACACACGCATGCACGCACGCACGCACGCACACACGCATACACACATACCATATAGCTTATTTAACATTTGGAAAATCAGGTATCATGTAAACTATCAAGAATAGCTCCATACCTGTAACCTTTGGTTTATTATGACTAGATGAACCTTTGTCACCTACACCTCTTGATATAAAGGCAAGTTTGGGAGGCCTCCTTTCCTGTGCCACGCTATCTGAAACAGTAAACACACTTTTTAATATAAACATAAATTCATGTAGAAGAGAAATAGTTTAGCAATCAATGACAAGAGCATAAACAAAACAAACAAAAAAAACGTTTCCAACAAAAAAAAGCATAATCTTTATAGTCATGCAGATTCTCTTTAAAGACTCAAAACACTGAAAAGTAATTTCTCAGGGAAAAGAACATCAACATTGTTCTTATATAATTTGTACAAGAAAATACACTCCTAAATCCTTCCAAATGCTTTAACTTTTGAGAAGTTAAGATGAAGTCAATTTTGTTTGATGTTTTAAAAAGCTATAAAGAAAACCTTATTTATAGTTTTTATTGCATTTGCAGATCAGCATGCCCAGCACAATCCTACATATTACAAAGTGTTTTACACTCGAGCATTTATAAAAGGTGCTGAGACAAATACAGATGGACGATGTATTTACTGTAAAAACCAGAATCTTTACATGCTGATGTGCCTAAAGAATCTCTAAATGATGTGACACACTAAACGTACTTGATAAAACATTTGGTGCCACTCTAGTGAGAATCTCAGAATAATGTGTTTCACAGAGATAGCTTGATAACAGTCTGGTTAGAAGACAGATCAGGGTTAGGAATGCTCTGGGTAGTAAATATGCTTCCACTTTTAAACACAAACAGATTAAGAATAACAGATGTGTATACAAACACATGTAAACAAGAAAAAGACATATTTATGCACAGATCAATAATGCAGAAAGCCAGAGATACACAATAGTAATTTTTTTTTTAAGAAAGCAATCTAAGTTTCATTTCAAAGTACAGATACAAAAAAGTTTGACAAACTTCTTTAGATTCAAAGGTATTTCTAAATCTTAAAATCTGGCAGAACTAGCCGGGCAGTGGTGGCACATGCCTTTAATCCCAGCACTTGGGAGGCAGAGGCAGGTGGATTTCTGAGTTCGAGGCCAGCCTGGTCTTCAGAGTGAGTTCCAGGACAGCCAGGGCTACACAGAGAAATCCTGTCTCAAAAACAAAACAGAACAAAACAAACAAACAAAAAAAACTGGCAGAACTTATAAACACTGACCAAATAAACCTAAGAGAATTAGGTGACAGGTTTGCCCTTAGGAAGTTCAACAGCACACCCATGAAGCGCAGCACAATGCTGAGTAGCCATACCTGATAAAGCTGTTATCAGCAAACACAGTATCACCCACAGTGCAATTTTGAGGACAGAAAGGAAAAATAGGAAAATTTTTTATATTTTAAACACAGAAAAGAACATTTAAAATGAATAAAGGAGTCACAGAACTAATTATATATAAATAATGCTTGATATCTTTTTCCATGGTTGAAGGAAGAGGGAAATATATATTAAATTATATATCTTAAACATCTAAAAATACAATCAAATGAAATATAGGAATATCATTTCAATTAAGAAATTATACTAAATGACCATAATTTTAACAAACAATATAATAAATACTAAAAATGTCTTTATGATATTACCATTCCAGGTATCTATAAATGTCATCTATGTGAGTTTTTATAGGAAAAAAATAACTCTTTGTCACTGGAGAAATGCCCAAGTTATAGCATAAAAACTGACTAAAGACAACTATGCCCACTGTCAACTATAACTAAGAGTATGTAACTCCATTTAAAAAGACATGTTTGTAGTCCAGCATATATATACATACATATATATGCATTTGTTTATAATCCAAAATCATGAAGCAAATTAGGCTAAATGGCTTAAATTTGAAGAAAACTTAAATATGATATAGTTGGCAGGGTGAGGAATAAATTTAACAGACAATTTTTTAAGATTGAAATTATCATGACTAAAGATATTCAAGGATATAGGAAGTCCACTCAACAGCACTCCACAATGCACACAGTAACTCTATTCATAATAACTAATGGCTAAAAACAATCTATTCTGTAGAACAAATAAACTGACTGACGCATATAAAACTGTGAGCTGATGATAAGGGTCTGTGGGAGAGCACTTGCCAGCATATCCAAAGCCCTGGGTTCAAAACTGCACCACAAGAAAACAACAGATATAGTTCACTAAAATTGTAGTCTGTTAACACAACATACCAACAGTAAAACGGAGCAAACCACTGCTACACACATGAACACTGCTGAGCAAAAGAAACCAGACCTCAAGTATACATGGTATACACACAGCAGGACTACATTCAAAATGATAAAACTAGGAATTTAATCATTACTCTTTTGGTTCTATTAGAAAAAAAAAGTATTTTTGGAGATTCTTGGGCTGAAAAACCTAACAACAAAAGAGTGAACAAGTTATTCAAACAAAATGTCTATAAATCTGAATAGCCCATTAAATTGAGAGGGATTGTTTAAATGATGTATTGTTCAACATCATCTGTCATGGTGCACAATTCAAAACCAAATGAGAATTTAACATGTAACAAAAATGAGGGTATTATAAAACCCTCATGTGCAGGCATGCTATGCACAGCAATTATCTAAAAATCTCTGTAAGTTTGGATGACTAATCAGAATAAATATTTTAGATAATTGTATATAATAACTGTATCTGTAAGGGGCCTTACAGGTAACATAAGAGTTGCCTTCTGAGCCGGGCGGTGGTGGCGCACGCCTTTAATCTCAGCACTTGGAAGGCAGAAGCAGGTGGATTTCTGAGTTCGAGGCCAGCCTGGTCTACATGGTGAGTTCCAGGACAGCCCGGGCTACACAGAGAAACCCTGTCTCAAAAACCAAAAAAAAAAAAAGAAAAAAGAAAGAAAAAGAAAAACAAACAAGAGTTGCCTTCTGAGCTCTGGTGCTTCAAACCATCCTTCCCTTGGGCTCTGTCTCCCGTGACCAGAAGTCCTTACTATATAGAAGAAATTACAGAACAGGCAAACTCGGAGAAACAGAAAGGAGCTTCACAGTTGCTAGGGTCTGGAGGGAAGCTGCTAATGGGAGTGGGTAACAGGGCTCTCCCTGGGATGATAACAAGTCCTTGAGCTACACAACAGCAATAGATGTACGATCCTCTAAATGAGCTTAGTCCTGATGAGCTACGTTGTAATGAAGTAATGCATATGAATTACATTTCATGTTTTAAAACTAAGAAGAACTAAGTAAAATTTGTTGGAACCTTATAAAGAGGATGAGAAGACAAGATAAAGAATAGGAGAAAATATTTGTAAATCATATCCAACAAAGGGCTAGTGTCTAGAATACATTTTTAATTACATAAGTCAACAATAAAAAAACCAAATAATTCAATTAGAACCTGGCCAAAACAAATAAAAATGTATTTTAATTTAGAATATAAACATAGAACATAAAAACATTAAAAGATGTTCAGTATCATGAGCTATTAAGGAAACAAAACTGCAATGAACAATCACCACACATTTCTCAGAACAGCTAACATGAAAAGCAGCCACGCTGATGGGGATGTAGAAAGATTTGATCATTTGTATATTACCAATGGGCATGTGACACCATACAGTAGTCACTCTATAAAACAGTGTAGCAGTTTCTTATAAAAGCTTATTGTAAAGAATAGTGGTACTCTGTGTGGGTAGATCAAGTTCCTCCCAGTGCTAAAGGTGTCAGCTACTTCCCTTTGAGTTGATGGTCAAGAAGGCTCCAGAAGCCCCCAAAACAGTAAAAGCAATTGCTGTTAGTTGCCTACCAGATCTAAAAGGTGAGCCCTTATTTCTAAAGATATTACATGCTCTGGTCACAGAGCATACAAAACTCAAGCTGGAACTGGGCTGGGACCTTCCTCTCTGCTATCTATCCCTTATAGTACAGAAAATGTAATGCAGGCTGCTAGGGGAAACTATCAAGTCGTATTCAGCTATTTGCCCTGTGTATAATAACACTGGCTGGCCAGATGAGCTCACTAGTACAACAGCAGCAAGTCTTTAGGGGTAACCAACAGTTTCCTGATTAGGTTTGGGGCCTAAAGCCCATGGGTAAGGTCATACGACCTAGTACAGAAACTACTGCTGTTGTTTTGTTAAATGGACAGGATGTGGCTCATAAAGTGCCTTCTAAATAACTTATGTTTATGCCAACAGTGTTGCTGTCATTTTGGTCAGAGAAGCTTCCTACTGCAGTGGTCAAAATACTGAGAACAAATAGTTGCTCTGTGTCCAACTACAAATGGTACATCTATATCATCCTTTCCAAGGTTCAGGGAACATTGCATAGAAAGGGTGGAAGGCATAGAAGAGCTGGAAGAAGTAGAGAAGCATGTGGAATGCTGACCTCCAGGTTGCTGCACTCTTGAACTTACTCTGATACCTTGAACAAGATGTACATGAGACTGGGCTTGTCATGGAAAGGGAAGAAACTCATGGAATCCCACTCTCCCTGAGGATTTATACATATTTATACATAGTTACTGCTTTATAGGAAAGGGAGAGACTTTTTTAACCAGTCAGGTAAAGTATACATGCTCCTATAGCAAGCCTAATAAAACTCATTAAGTCTCTCTCTCTCTCTCTCTCTCTCTCTCTCTCTCACACACACACACACACACACACACAAACACAGGCATTAAAGCGGGACTAGTTGAGAAGAGAAGGATTAGTGAGGCTGAGAGGGGTCAAGAAAGTAACTGGGTAATCATGGTTGAAATACATGATGTACGTGTGTGAAAATATTATAATGAAAACCATTATTATGTATAATTAATACTAATAAAAATAATTTTTAAAAACTTACTATGGAAATAACATGATCTAAAACTACACAAAGAAAAATATACATTTTCTACATATTTCTACACATTTTCTGCCAGAAAAATTAAGATTTGAATTCACTCAAATCTCAGCATACAATGCTCATTAAAGCATTGCTCATAATGACCCCAACTTAGCCGGGCGGTGGTGGCACACGCCTTTAATCCTAGGACTTGGGAGGCAGAGGCAGGCGGATTTCTGAGTTCGAGGCCAGCCTGGTCTACAGAGTGAGCTCCAGGACATCCAGGACTACACAGAAAAACCCTGTCTAGAAAAACCAAAAAAAAAAAAAAAAAAAAAAACCCCAACTTAAATGTACTTCAGTGGGCACTCATTAAATGAACAGTATACCAAAAACAAGGACTATGTTAGCAATTAAAAAGAAAAGACAACTTAGCATAGATAAATTTCCAGAGAATATGGTGGATTAGAAGTCAATCAAAAATCCCCAAACTATGTCCTATACAAATCCACTAACATATAACTTTTCTAAAATGGCAATTTAAAGAAACAAAGGAGAGACTGGTGGTTGCAGATGTTCCCTCTCCCAGCAGCTACCAAATGCTTCAGTGCTTCAATCTAGTGGTGGGATTCCATACCTACTATCTCCTCCTTCTATGCTGGGATTTTGTCTGGCTTGAGGCTGCACGGGTCTTGTGCATGTTGACACAATTCATGTGAGATTATATATACAACGACCCAGCTGTATCCAGAAAACTCTGTTTTCTTGAAGTCAACCTCTACTGCTAGTTCTTAAAACTTTTCTGCCCTCCCTTCTGTAGAGTTCCCTGCGTCTTGGTAGGAGAGGTATCAGATGTATGTTCCCACTTAGGGGCGAGCACTCCATCGTCTCTTGTTCTTTGTACCACAACCAGCTGAGGGTCTCCGTCAACTGTCATCTACTGCACTAAGAAGCTTCTCTGATGAGAGTTGGAATGTAGTGTTCTATGGCTATGCATCAATTGTAGCACAACAAAACTGTTACCTTTTTAAAGGACATGAACTATGAAGACATGCAATCATTACACACACACACACACACACACACACACACACACACACACACTCACCAAGGATATAAAAGAAATCATGAGCTTGGGATCAGCCTCAGAAGGAAAGTTAACTTTTTCCCACTAAACTTCCCTTTTCAATGTCTGTGAATACGCATCAACTGTGCAGCTGGAGTTGTTTACTTGCATTAAACTCTACCCTCCCAACTAAAGACAGAGACAGAGCTCAACAAGCAGAAACGCTTGCTAGCGTTTGTTAGAGGTGTCACAAAAAGGCTTCATCCCACTTCACAAACTTGGATGTGCTATCACGTCAGATGTGTGACTGCTTTGGGCCATTGGAAACAGAAGGGCAAAGAGGGACATTTTTATAGCAGGCTGAAGCAAAGGTATCTAGACACCAACAGTAACAAACAGTTCTCTGGGAAGAATTCTTTCCAAATCTCACCATCTATTCAGCTGCCTGAAAAGGAATCTTTCCTACGTGCTGGAAATGTTAATTCTGTCCCACAAATGGAGGTAATTGAGCAAGAAACAAAATAAATAAACTAAGGAACTAAAGGAGACTCTTCAAGCTTTCGCCTCCTCAAGAAAAGAGTGTTAATGATACAAAAAATATAGATGAAGGCTTATTCAAATTAAATTAATTTTCATCTAAACAACTTTACTTTTTAAAAGTCTATTTGCAAGCTTTATTTTGTTGGTAAATAAGTGTAATTGATGTGTATAAAAGGAGTATCATTCTTAATTATATGCTATTCAAGATTTATGAATATCAATAGTTTTGAAAGAGGAAAAGCATTCTTTTCCTTTCTCACGACTGCTCTAAACCAGCAATGATGTTAATGACAAGCAAGGATCTTCAAGATCCCTGTCACGAGACTCTCACATCATAAAACTTATGTGGCTTGCGCTTGTTGTTGATGGTTTTGCTATTTTAATTCTATATCAATATTTAAATAAAATATAATTAAAATGTTTTAATATAAGTACTGTAAAAAAGGAAAAAAATTTTACTTGTAAGGTTACACACCAATTCCAACATAGAGAAAATAAAAATGGCTTCTTTTTCCTCTCTCCTTTCGATTTCTTATGTGCTACCGCAGAATCTAAGACAATTTACATTTCAAACAAATTTAGAGGTGAAATGTATACATATATGTTACTCATGTACATATATATAATATATATAAAGAAAGAAATACTGCTGAAGAGTTGGGGGAGGGTGGAACATTTCAGATCTTTCTTCTACAGAAGAATGAAAATAACACAGCCAAGTCTGCATACGTGAGCTTTATGGCTCAGGGAATCTTCCTTCTTTAATGGTAATACCAACTTAATGGTTTCCCCAATCTTACAACTTTATGTAACATACTTCATTCCACTGTAAAATACAAAACTCAAAAGCAATGCAATTAAGATAGATAAAAATGACAGTTACATTCACTCAAAAAAAAAAAAAAAGTCACAGGTTTTAATGTTTCAAAAACACCATTGCCTGACACCCTGGGGAAAAAAATTCCTTAAGAAAGAAAATGCCCAAACATATCTTTTTGCTAACTGAAGTAAAATTTCACCGGAGGATATGACTGTACAGAAGCAGTATTACCTAGAATTGCTTCTCCTGTAAAAATTCAAATAATGAAACAAAAAATGACAAGGACTTCTTCTCAGCCATCCAGCAAGTTAACAGTATAAAATTAGCATAGCTCTCCAAATTTATTTAGACAGGAACTCTCAATTCAGCTCTACTATAATTCGAGGCTCAATAACTTCTTGTGTGGCTGCTTAACTGTCTCACGCAAGGTCTACTGGACACACAGATGTGACAGGCCACACCTCATTTTTCCTACCCCTTGTTATACTGTTCTCTAGCCTGGTACTATCTAACTGATCATAGATTCATGGATTGTCTATCTCCATTCATTAAAATGAAAGCTTGACATAAGAATTATTATATTTTAAAATGTGTTTAATTTATCATGGGTGTATGTGCCTAGGTACATGCATGAGTGTCCAGAGGTCAGAGGAAAATCTGCAGGAGTCGCTCTCTACTCTTATCATGTGAGTTCCAGGAGTTAGGTCAGCTTGAAGGCAAGTGCTCTTACCCACTGAGCCATCTTGCTGGCCCTAACAATCACTCCTCTTCAGTACTAGGACTTGAACTTACAGCTTTGCTCATGTACCACGGAGCTACAGTCCAGCCCCAATAATTATTACCTGCTTTGCTTCCTGCACTATCCATATCTAAAGAAATCTATGTAAGGGCTTGCTACTATCTGAACAAATGGTGTTTTATATTGCTATTTTTTAAAACAATAAGCACTCACTAAAACATTAAAAACTATTTCAACTCACAAACTTCCTATACTATACTGTCTATAAAACAGGCATGAAAGAGTAAATACCACTAAATAAAATATGAACATACAGATATGCTTTCCCTTAAATATAAATCATTTGTTTCCAAAAGGTTGGACAAGGAATTAGGCACGGGAAGGGGGGATCCAAGAGGAATTGGATGGGGGTGTTATAATCAAAATATATTATATGTATATATGTACAAAAATTCTCAAAGAATGACAAATATATCTTAAAAGAAATCAAAAGTATGACAGATTTTTTTAATAGCAAAATTGAAATAAAGCTGTTACACGAATCTCACACCTCTTGCTAAAAAACTAAAAGCTATGTGGGAAACATGTTCAAACTGTAAAATAAGTATTTATGCCTTGATACCAACAGGGAGACAGGAAGGGCAGAGTGCAACCCAGGAGCCTTCATTTCCCATTTCCATGAAACAAGAAATTCAGAACCAAAAATAAGCTATAGAAAGAAACTCAAAAACATTTTATGCTAACATTACCAATAATGGAAAAAAACTAGGTGGAAAAAAATAGTTTGCTGCTCACTTATGATTCTTGCTACAGTAAAACCATCTTTTATAGAACCAGACACAAAATTCATCTCCATAGAAACAATATTCCCTAGCATGTGACACTAAGAAATATGGCTTTTATGCATTTCTTCATAATGCAAGAGCACTCCGAGAATACAGGATTTGTTGGGAGACTGAAGAGAAGAACTCAGGATGATGATCAGACAGGGATGGACATAAATGTTGGCACTGCCACTTACTTTCATCAGAGACAATCCAAGTCTGATTTGAACCACAGTTTTGTTTTGGTTTGGTTTTTGTTACTTTTGCTGGTTTTTTTCTGTTTTACATTTAAATTAACAAAAAGATTATCAAGACCTATTTTATAAATGGGTTTACAACATAAAGACAGCATATAAACCATCTAATTCCAGGCCTAGCACATTCCTGTTATTCACAGTTATAAAAACATTCAATAACATCCCCATCTCTGAATGCCTCTCGTGGCTCTACTGCACTAGCCTATCACTGGGAATTCTAACAGCCAAGGGTGGTGTTGCTACCACTGCCAATTTCCTCAGAGTAGCCAAGGGAGATATTTATTTGAAGCAAAACAAAAGGTTCTTAAGCTTTGCAGAGGTTTTCAGTGGTGGTGGTGGTGGTGGTTTTCTCATTTGGTTTTTTAAGTTCACAGGTTGTGCTCTAGCTCAGAGGTAAAGAGTTTTACTGCAGTGCCACTTAAACCACATGTATAAGACTCTGAGTTTCATCCCCAGAAATAAATATATATGTTCACTCCCTTTACCCATTGAGCCATCTTGCTAGCCCTGATTATTACTTTTGTAATACATATAATATAGTAATAATAACAACAATAAATAAAATTATGTAATGTTTCTGACTATAGTCATAGAGCATGCTCTATCATAATGCCATCTTAAAACACAATTACTTCAACCATCATTTAACAAGAATCCTGAATCCACTGTGCAGTGTAGATGAGATAACCAACTTCTCTTTGCAGGGCCCTACTTTCAACTCTTACTCCAACAGGTAGCAGTTTTTGTATTTTTGAGCCTTCCAATTATTCTTTATTAGAATGTCTAGGAGGAAACAATGTAACAGGTAATGTATAAACTTCACTCATTACTTTTAGAAATACTACTTTTAGAAATAACCTTTATTGCTTTTATTTGGGGTAAAGAATATTCTATTTAATGACAATTCTGCAATATAAAATCCAATTTCAAAAGACCTATCTTAAAGTATATATTTTCATTCTCATAACAAAACACACGTTCGAAACTGTCTTCTGAATACATAAAGGAAACATACCTGGGATGATGTCATTGATGTGCAGGAGAATTGTACTTTCAACGCTTGCAAAACTACAAAGCTGTACTCCATCAAACCTTCCATCCCAGTTGCCAATAGGGTTATCCTAGAAATGACATACAAAGTAAACCTTTTAAGCCTTCCTCAATTAAATGTAAATATGAACATCTACATTTCTCACAAAAGAATCCCCTAAAATATTTTACACTGAGAACTTTTAACTATTTTTCCCAAAAGAATAAAGGTTATATTAGAAATAATAATAATAATAATAATAATAATAACAACAATGTTATAGCAAACACACAGAAAAATAGTTTAAAGTGTTTTTCAGACTTTAATCTGCATTAATAACACCACCTGAGGTTTAAAGTGACATTGTTTGCATATGAAAATTCATTAGGAATGCATTATTTTACCCAGAAACCTACCCTTAAAAGTTAATCACACACTAATATCTCTGGGCACTTTGCTCATCTGAATTACTACATGACTTTCTATAAGCAGAATGGTAGTGATTCCAGACTTTTTTTAAATGTATGAGTGCTCTGCTACATGTACACCTACACATTAGAAAAGGGCATCAGATCCTTTACAGATGGCTGAGAGCCACCATGTAGGTCCTCTGGAACTCAGGACCCCTGTAGAGTCAGTGCTCTTAACTGCTGAGCCATCTCTCCAGCCCTCAGAATTCTTTTGTCATTCATAGGTATATGCGACTTTCCCCAAAATGGAGATTTTCTAAGTTATATTCTACTGTATCACCAGGGACACGGGTTGTTGATGAGGTATAGACAGATGAGCCAGTGAAACAACTGCCCTGAGCAGGAGTGCATGTGGAAAGTGTGCCCCTGGAAACAAAAAGGCATGAGAAAAGTTGCAGTTGAAGAACATTCTCCTCAAGAAGCCTAAAGACAGTGTTTGGAAGTGATGCTTGCACAAATCAAATGGTGATGGACAGCGTGGGTGGACCTGGCAGGCAAACCTTAAGACAGCCTGCCTGAGCTAACCAAGATGAGCCCTTAGGCCACCATCGAGGGAGGAGAGGACCCAAACAGCTCCTGTCATATTGAAAGCCTGGGCCAAAGACTCTATACGGAGTCTAAGTCCAAAGATTATCGGCCTTCTTTCTCCAACCTTCTCTCTACCCAGTCCACAACTTCTCTTCTGAAATACTAAACTCACATTTAAGGAATACTGGTTTTAGTTACTAGCAATTTTGAGAAGCCCACAGGTCTCACCTTGGCTCTAATTTAACATAGCAAGAGTCTGGCAACTTCTTATTTTATACCTAACTGGTGAGCATCCAATACAATTTCTAAGCACAAGGTAAAAAAAACATGCTAGAAACATGTTTGCCCTACCATCTCTTTACAATATTTCTGAATAAATAAAAATGATTACTAAAAATATCCCCCTGTGTGAGTCCACTGTTCATATCCTCTCCTAATACATCCTGGTGTTGATATTATAAAGGAATTTCTATCCATAATGAACTTTTGCCTATATTTTCAATCTATAATAAAAATGTTCTCAACTTCTTCCTTCTCACTCTCCTAGTGCTACAAGTTAATTCAGTATGTGCACTGGAATGTATAAGTATGATTATTCAGTAATAAAAATGAGTGACACAAACAGAAAAGGTGAACGTATATGACCTCTCTGAGTGCCTGCAGACTGGTACCCAGACTGTGGTTAACAGGCATGGGAAAACTGGGCAGAATGTATTTAATAAGGACAGAGTTCCCCGTGAGATGATAGAAAAGTCCAGCAGACAGATGTGGAAAAGGCGCAATGAGAACATACCAAATGCCACTGAACTGTTCTCCAACTATAGTTAAGGTGGAAACACTTTTAGTCAATTTGACCACAATAGGGAAACAGTTTTAAACAATGCAAATCCTGTGGGAATCTACTCAAATGCAGTGTGGTTCTTTTCCTAGGTATTTTTTATTAATGACTTTGTACTTTCATTATTATCAGAGAAATCAATAAAACATTACTAAATATATATAAAACATGTACAAAAAACCTTTTAAATTAAAGGAAAATACAGTATCATACATTTGGGCTTGGCCAGGGAAGTGTCAGTATCTTTCATTAGTTTGGTTTGGCTTGATTTTTGCTTTTGTTAACTGGTCAATTATAATAAGGAAAATTTAAAGACTGAGAACATTCTCCCAGTTTATTAAAACTGGAAAAAGATGTAGTAAATGCATTCTATATCTGCTCATATGTCCTATTTCAATGTTCCTGGACCAAAGATAAACCGGACTGTCTCCTTTAAAATACTGTATATTAATCCATTTTAAGTATTCAATTTAAACCTAAATTGGTAATGAAACTAATACATATATTAACAATAATACAATCCAAAATTTTCTTACCATGTCCACACCAACAAAATATCCTAAATTCTCTTTTCCTGGTAAAACATCACAGAATATTACTGTTCCAGATTCTATACTTTCTCCAACCTTCAAAGAAACTCTGGAGTTTATTTCCAAAGGGGGAGGTTCAGCCTGCATTGTATCTCCTGGGCCTGCAAAATCACTTTCCAATCCATTGTCATCATCTTCTATAAGTTCCAGTTTGTCCAATGCAACAAACACTCCACAGTCTTCATCACACTGGAATAGCTGCTTTCCTTGATAAACCCCATCAGTGAAACCTTGACCACGACCTTCTTCCTAGTTTTCAGAGATTTTTTTTAAAAAAAGAGATATAGAAAGATTACTCATAAAAGGGATTACAGGACAATTACTTTGGAAAAACTCTAAATTACGTAATAAGAAATATCACAACTAACTGTTACAGTTGGGTTTAGGGTATTTAACGAATAAAGCTGTATTTGATGGTGAAATTACCATAACTTCAAATCATAATTCTTTTGAGAAAGAGTTAAACTGAAATTTGCAGTAGGATTCTACCATAATTTTTGTCATTCTACCTTAAGCAAAGAGCAGCGTTTGCTCTATTTATTGAGAAAGAGCTGTATGCAATCCACTGTATTAGTGAACCTATTCACACTCCAAGTCACATGCTATAAGCACTTCACAGAGGAGAACCAGATTAGGAGAACCTGATACAGGCTGGTTAAGCAGCATGGCAACCCTGCTAGTATAAACCAAAACTGGCTGTCAAAACCTAACTCTCCCTGCTTGAAAAAACAAATCAAGAAGCAAATAAAGCTTCTACTCACAAGAACGTCAGAATGGGACATTGCTGAGAACAAATACTCTGTTTGGAAATACTCAAAAAAATTTTAGGTATGCTTCCAACAGAAATAAATTCCAAGGCAGTTTATAAAAATCAGGAATAAGTATAAGCAAACTGAAACTGCTACAACATATTTCAAAACTCTTGCCTCAAAACTGTTATACTTAATAGCATTCATAAGGAGCTAAGAACCCTGTAGATGATATCACAAGATATTTCACAATTTTTGAAGTATTTAATTATAATTGGTAGAGTTAACTTTTTTTTTTTTTTCGAGACAGGGTTTCTCTGTGTAGCTCAGGCTGTCCTGGAACTCACTCTGTATACCAGGCTGGCCTCAAACTCAGAAATCCACCTGCCTCTGCCTCCCAAGTGCTGGGATTAAAATTTTCAAGCACTAACTTTATATCCTCTCAGTTTATCATTAAATAAACTTAGGGGCTGAAATATAGCTCAGTGGTAGAGGGCTCTGGGGTCTAACCTGAGAAGTACACCAAAAAGAAAATAATAATAATAATAATCCTAAGGATCATGAATATAAACAATATACTGCATATAAAAGAGGAAAATATGTATGTGCTTGCACGCACACACACGCACACACACAGTCACAAAAACACTAAAATGTCTTTTCAAACTTACCAGTAATTCTACTCCAAAGAAAATCCCCGACACTGTCCTCTCCGCTAATAAAGGTCCTCTGAAGCGTACAACTCCTGGAAACTTCTCTTCCCCAGATCGCAGCTGTACTTTCACAGGACTGCCCACGTCTACCTGGAGGCCTTTACTTAGTCGGATTCTGTTTCTAAACAGGCTGAGCCTCTCCTCACAGTTGGTAATTGCCAACAGTAACTCTGTGAATTTTTCATTTATTTCTACAACATCCTTTTCATCAACAAACAGAACTGCATGCGGTTGCTCTAAGATTTTTAATCCAATCTGATTTTTCTTGCCTTTTGCAGAAGTAACTCTTGAATGCCCCATAGATCGGTCTTGAATGTACTGTCCTATACTTCCTTTGGGTACTTTCAGGAGCTTCTGTGTTTGTTTGTCTGTTACACTGCATTCTTGAAGAAGCAGATAAAAAATCCGTTCTTCCCAATAGGGTGAAGTAACTTTCTCTTGGCTCCACAGGCCTGAGCTCATTGTGACAGTAACTTTCAGAACATTAACTGGTAAAAAGGAACCACTAGTAAATCTGTCATAAAATCCAAAAAACCGAACTCACTGTAAGTCCCAAAGCAAGATTTTAGCAACCTGGTATCCATGCTGTAAAAAGACAGCAATTCAAAGTGCCTGGCAAACAAGCAAAGCAGACATTAGACTCCATTCAATACAAACTTAAATTAAAGCTAAAGATCTTTAAATCTCATTTAAATATACATATACATACATACATACACATCTCAAAGAGCTAAAAGACACTTGACTGTGTCTACTGTAACTGCATTTTTAAGAAAGTCAGTAACAAAGCATTTACAGACATCAACAATGACTATTTCAAAATTATAAAATTAGAATCTAACAAAAACTTTAAGGTCATCTCCATATATAGACTCTGAGATTTTTTTTCTTTCAGTTTCTTGTTTGTTTGGTTGGTTTGGTTTTAGTTTTTTGGGACTGGGTTTCTTTGTGTAAGCTCTTGCTGTCCTAAAAGCTGCTCTGTAAATCAGGCTGGCCTTGAACATAGAGATCCACCTGCCTCTGTCCACTGAGTAATGAGATTAAAGGTGTGGGCCACCACTGCTCAGCTGAGAGGTTTTTAAACTATAAAGTAGCATTTCTGACTTACTTGAATGGATAAGACACAGTGCTTTGTGAAAACACAGATAACCTTATTAATTAAAAAGGCTATTATTTTTAAGCATGTAACTTAAGTAGAAAGTACACATTATACATAAAAATATGACAATATTACATTCTGAAACAAATCATTTATCTATGTTTTACTGACTCAATTTTATTTTTATACATCTTATTTATATGTATACATGCTATGTCTGTGTGACTGTATGCCACATGTGTATAGGTACTCCAGGAAGCCAGAAGAGGGGATGGTTGGATCCTTTGAAGCTGAATTTATAGGCAGTTGTGAGCTACCCACCATGGGTACAGGGAACTGAATTCAGGTATTCTGGAAGAGGAGTATAGACTCTTAATTGCTAACCCATCTCTTTAGACCCCCTCACTTTCATTTTCATAATCTTAAATATTTTGTGCTTAGACAAGGAAATGTTAACTATATTAATTAAAACTACTATTTAATTTCTTATAATTAATAAGCATAAATATTATAATCTAATATATAAAGAATAATTGAAAATGGTTTATAGCCTCAAATTTTGAACTATGTAATAGCAACATATGACTACAGGATAATAATACTGAATTGTAGATGTTTATATCTATAAATTGTAGGTTTTATGCCACAGTTTTAACTATGTATAAAAGAAAAGAATATAGAAGTGATTATTTTCCAGCTTCGATTTTTCATTTAAAACTATTACAAAAATAATTACACAATTCTGTAGCCTTATTTTAAAGCCTACTTTAATTGATAATTTTAAACTATATAATTTCAAATGCTGTATATGACAGGCCCATAGCCAACATCATGCTAGAGAAAAACCTAAAGCAATTCTCCTAAAATCAGGAGCAAGGCAAAGTTATCCACTCTTGCTACACATGAAGACCACAGTTGACATGAAAGGTCCAAGGTCAATATGTAGGAACTGGTTCTCTCCATCTACCATGTCAGCTCTAAGAATAGAACTCAGGTCATCAGACTTGACAACAAGTACCTTTACCTGCTAAGCCATCTTGACAGTCTAAAAACTAATATTTTATAAGCCAATTTAAAAATATAAGTTGAAAGAAAATTAGAAGGAAGATATCCTGCTTGGCTAGACTGCTGATCCTGGAAGCCATGATTATGAAACAAAATTCCCAGTGGCAGGTATGGGATACCCTCCTTATGAATTATCAGTCAGGGAGGGCCTAAATGCCCCTAAGACAATACAGATTCTTGCCAATCCTCTTGGTTGCCACCAGAACTAGAAGATGAGATTCTACTTCTTAAGACAGCACACTCCTTAACTATAAGATAGAGAGAAACTAAGCTAGAGCTGAGACCAACACTTCCTCCCTGCTCACTAGCTTTCACAGTGCTAAGAGATGCTATGTGCACTGGAGAGAGGAGGACCAGTGGTCTTACCCAGCTGTGAACCCCAGGAACTACAATACTAATCCAGCAAGCAAGACATGCCTACTAGGAGCAGGATTGTGATCCTAGTAGGATCAACCAGCCATGCTCTATTGGATTTGAGGCTTACTCTGGCTAAAAGGAATCCATGCCAGGAATTGTAAACAAGTTCAGAAACCATGGCTTTGGGTTTAACTTACTACTGCTGTTTACCTAAATTGGCATGATGTCCAACTGCCTTCTAAATGTCTGTGGTTATAGGCATTGCCAAGTTACCAGCCTTAATCAAGAAGCTTCTTTTTGTCAATGAACAGCAGTGAATGCAGAGAGTCTGGGCTGTTCAAGGTTCTGAGAAAAGGAGACAGCTTGAGTGCTTGGCTCTAAACAGAACATTTATACTGCTCCCTCTTAGGTTCAGGCAATGTTGTAGAATGGGGTAGAGTTGGGGGTGGAGAATATAAAACCTAGGAGATAGGGAAAAGAAGAGCAAAACACTATCTTCTGGCCATAACACAGCCACTGCAATCATGAGTTCACAGCAGCTGTGGTTGCTAGCTTGCACTGGGCCCATATAAGAGAGGATATGTCAATAACTAGTCATGGATTAGGAAGGGGTACATGGGTACATCCTTGCTAAACTATTGGCTACTAGATGATCCTGGGGGAGAGAAAACCATCATCTTCAGATATGTATCTACTATTGAGACCAACTATCCTCAACAGATGGCTTTCATTAAGCTTAGTGGGTCACAAAAGAAAAAAGACATGAACATAGTAAAGGGACCTAGGGAGGGAGTATGAAGGGTGGAAGGAAACTGAGGTGAGGTGAGAGTAACCAAAGCATATTACATACATATTTGAACCCTGTGAAGTACAATACTAACCCAGCAGGTGTCACTACTGGCAGGACTGTGATGGGAACAAGCAACCATGCTCTATCGGATTTGAGGCCTGCTTTGCTAAAGGGAACCCATGCCAGGTATCATAAGTCAGTTCAGAATCCATGGCATAGGGGCTCACTGCTAAACAACAAATTTTAAGAAACACAATTACATCCTTTCAAATTAAGGGCTTCATTATGTAATTATCTTTCTGAAAAGAACAGTTCCCTGTATCTCTGTTATAAGACTGTGGTTATTTGTTTCATCCTTCTTTGAGACAGAAGTATCCATCTCCAGCCCTTTGGCTAAAGATAGCAAATAATAAAGCTATCATATGTACTCATTTTATTCTTGCAATTAAAATCAAATATACGGCCGGGCAGTGGTGGTGCACGCCTTTAATCCCAGCACTTGGGAGGCAGAGGCAGGCGGATTTCTGAGTTCGAGGCCAGCCTGGTCTACAGAGTGAGTTCCAGGACAGCCAGGGCTACACAGAGAAACCCTGTCTCGAACCCCCCCCCCAAAAAAAAATTTAAATTAAATCAAATATACTTAGAACTAAAGCAGAAATGGTATTATGTGACGTAATGATAAAGCAACATGACAATTCCACACACATAGTAACATATCTCTTAGAAGTATTCCTTCATTTTCACAAGTCTGTCCCTTTGCAAGCCCAAATGAGAGACTCAGGTCACCCTAGAAAGGATAAGGCAGGCACTCCCCCAAAGCACTGTCACTTGAAGTATCTGCACACTTGGTGAGGATGGAGGCAGTGGCAGCATGAGCTGCTCCTCTTTCTGCTTCCTTTTGTAACGTGCTCTTTAATTCCACTTGAGGGCACTGTCTACTTCAACAGAAAGGGAATCAATTTATATCTGCACTTACATAATACACCTGTAGACACCTCAATTTTAGCCCCACGTAAACAAAATCCTTCAAAAGGACACCCAAGAAGCTACACAACCCCTTAATATGGCTCTGTGCCTCTCAAGAACCAAGATAAAGTGTCTGGGTTTTTTACTAAAATGCTAGTGTGTCAGCATTAAGGAAATTACTTTTTTCTTGATCACTTAGGTATCATTAGGAGTATAAATTATTATTAGTGAGTCTCTATATAGAAGATGTTACTTTATTATAAAGCTTTTCATCTTGTCCTCTGGCTCTCTTGCCTGTTTTATATAAATCATAGTATATACTTATATGTCCCTCTTGCAATCAGCCATTTTCTGTGGTTTCCTGCAGTCTGCCTCTGACTGGTTTTGTGGCCTTCTTGCTTTCCAATTTACTGTTTCTAAACAGTTCTAAGAAGTGAGGTGATGAGCTATGTTTGTGTGTCTGAAAAAGCAAAGCACACAAATAAAGAGGAATAGACAAATTCTAGAGGGGTACTGAAGAAAAAGGTACAGAAGGCCTTATTTCAAAGAGGTTGTTAAGACTGCTCCCAGGTTCAGGTAGTCAAAAAGCAGTGAGTTATTGTTCGGGGTCTCTTTAAAATGCATCTCAAAACTTTTGACTAAAAACATTTCAAAGCTATTTTATTTTTAAAATAATTTTTTTTTGTTTTGTTTTGGTTTTGTTTTTTTTTTGTTTTTGTTTTTGGTTTTGGTTTTGTTTTTTTTGAGACAGGGTTTCTCTGTGTAGTCCTGGCTGTCCTGGAACTCACTCTGTAGACCAGGCTGGCCTCGAACTCAGAAATCCGCCTGCCTCTGCCTCCCAAGTGCTGGGATTAAAGGCATGTGCCACCACCGCCCGGCAAATAAATTCTTTTTATTTCTAAAATTTTCTAAAACTGGATATCTTTAGATGGTAAGTTGGAACCTGCCTATTCTATTGACTCTCTAACTTAACAACTAATGCCACAATTTGAAGTTTAAAAAAATTAGTGTTAATGAAACATTATCAAACCAAAACAGATAATTGTATACGTCTCAGGACATTAGATTTAAATGAATTTGATCTCAAAAGGTAGTCCACAGTTTTAAGAATTATGTAACTGCTTTGTTTGTAAAAAAAAAAAAAAAAGTTTTCAAGAATAATTTTAAAGTGAACTAGACAAAGAATGATGAATGTTTGCAGCTTGTCTGCACAAGTGAACCTCAGTTTATACTCAGGAACAGGATAGGTCACAACAGACAAGTAGAATGGTCAAAGCAAACATTACAAAATACTTTCTAAAGGTATTATCCAAAGAGAAGAAACATGTGTGAGCCTACCCACTTTTAGAAGGAATATATCAAGAATAGGTTTCAGGGGGTTGGAGAGATGGTTCAGCAGTTAAGAGCACTGACTGCAATTCCAGAGGACCCAGGTTCAATTCCCAGCAACCACATGGAAGCTCACAACTATCTGTAACCCCAAGATCTGACACCCTCACACAGACATACATGCAGGCAAAACACTAATGCACATAAAATAAGAATAAATAAATTGTATGAAAAGAAAAAGAGTATGTTTGAAACACATTTAAATTAATTTCCTTTATTACTGATAATAAAGTAGAATGAAGAACTCTGTCTCTTTCTAGACACATACTGGATGAGAAACCAAATGATCATTTATCATCTCAAAATATCAGCATTACAACAGAAATGCCCTAACACATCCTCCTCCTCCTCCTATAGTAATGAATATAATGCCAACATTCTCATTCCTCTCGGATCTGCACAGTTAAATAAAGCCTTAGAACTCCAAACAAAAACTGCCTCAAGAATCTACAAAGAGAAACATCAAAATCACACTGTGGGCTCTTTCCAGATCATGTTCAGTATTCTGATACAGTCAGGGTTAGATCCTGAAAACTATACACATTAAGGTATGATAACTGGTTTCCACCCATTCTGTGTCTGCTTTAAGTACAGGTCATGACAGCTATAAGACAGTGAGTTCACAATGACACGGAGTTAGTTTGAAGGGAGAGATTTTGAAGTATACTCTCTTGTTACTCGGCAAATGGAATCACTGTGAAGGTGAGTATATCATGAACAACTCATCTAAACACTGTTCTATGTCCAACTGGGTAACAGTAATGGTGTATGTTTTGATAATTACTGAAATACTGAAAGAAAAGTAAGAGCTGGATGGACCACAACAGTGTAGCCTCAAACTGTTCAGCCTGAAACAAAGATGAACACAGGCCTGTCTTGGGGACACTGGAGACGAGGGAACAGAAGAGAATCACAGAGATCTGAAATCATTATCTGTTTATGAGCTTGTTGACTGCCTGAATGCTGAGTAAAGGAGAGTTTCAATAAACAAAGATAAAAATCATTAAACTAAATGAAGGTTAAAAAAAATAAATGTTGACCAATTTCCAGTGAATGAAATGATAAGATGATCAGGATATAAATCTTACAAAAAACATTAAAGATCAGAATTACCAAGTTTTAAACATCACAATATGAATGGTCATCAGCTACATAAAAGTGGTAACATAACTTTTCTAGACTGTAAGACATCCGGTTGCTCAAGGGATCAAGGTGTACCACCATCCCTGAGAACCTTACAAAGACAGGTGGAATTCAACAACTTCTAGCCTCTGCTGAGGTAGCCTCCTTGTTCTAAAACACCACAGGAAGCTTTCTAAATCAGAACAGAAATTACAATACTAAATACTGCTCAAATCACAAACGACAAAGAGGTAAGCAGGCTGACATGGATATGCAAGAAAAGAGCCACAGCTTTTCCAAATGCTTCAAGACAGTTTGAATGACTAATTTAAGGAAAAAAAAAAAAAAACTCTTACTAAAAGAACAAGTTGTTACATGCCTAAACAGTAAATACAAATACAAAGATTTCAAAGAGCAGAATAACTTGTGACACAAGGATACAGTCACAAAACCAAATGGGAATTATAAGGTTTATTTAAAAAAAAAAAAAAAAAGGTCTGGCTTTCCTGCATCAGCAGTCACATCAGGACGACAGGAACAATGCTGTCTCTTGTCAGTTAAACCTAACCTAGCCACTGGGCTTTAAAACCATGACTTTCCCACTCCTTGTTTTTCCAGGGTCTAGACCAGAAAACTTGATTAGCATAGGTGGATGCCGAAATGCTATTTCCTTGTCCTATTTAAGTGACCAGAAGTTTCTACTATGTTAAAAATAAGATTCAAGAAATAGAGAAACATGACTTTTGCCTAAAATATCATTAATTTTCTGGAAAAATCATAATTTTATACTATGCTACTACACATGTTAAGTAGAAACAAGTAAGGAAAAATGTCACAATTATGAAACCAGGTAGTTTGGAGCTTCATTTGAAACTAAAAATGTAAGATGACAGTATACAAACCAGTAATAAAACACTTGTTTGATGAGCAGGGTAATTACTGCCCTTTCTTCACGAATTAAAGACTTCCTTAAATCACTTAACCACAGTTTAGCTATCTTCTGTTTAATATGTCATTTTTACATAACAAGTCTCTAGTCTTATCAGCTCATCTCAAAAGTTACCAGTCCAAACAAGGCTTTCTTTGAAAGAATACCTTAAAATTTTGCAGCAGAACATTCGAGAATGTTCTAGGTACTGTCAACAATCAAATTACATGAACTTCACTAAGAATTTCCAACAAATCATTTTCCCTTAATGCAGTTCTAGTGCAAATCCACCCACTACCCAGCGGGGAGCAGCAGGCTAAATTCTTGGGGCCATTCAACCTACTTGAGGTATGAGGGGGTGTGCAGGAGACTGATGCTTGAATGTACGCCCTCTTGGTGCCTGGATTCTTCTCTGGAGCCAATGATTACAAAAATGAGCAACCTTATTAGGAATCCCTGATTAGCCCCAACACACACAAAAAAAGCAAGATATGAATGAATGCTCCTCTAAGGAGACAACTTTCCAGAGAAAAATCAGAAAGAGGACCGGTGGCGGGGATGGCGGGGGTTGGGAGATTGCAAGGCTTGGTGGCTGGAGGATGACAAACCCCTAAAACATGCAAATGCCAAGGGGTGGAATAGAAAAAGATGCCAAGGACATGAATAACCTGGCAGCTGACCTAGCTGAACTCAGTTCAAGACCGTCATCATTCACGACTTGGCGTTCTCCTCCAAGGTTGACCATAATAATAAAAAGGCAAGAAAGGTACCAGTTTCAACAGGGCGCACCTTCCAACTACACAACTGTGCAAAACCATCCTCCCCCCTAGACCAGGGAAACTGAAAGAAAAAACAGAACACGCCATTAGCGAGACCAGGCTGCTCTTCCGGGATGGAAGCCACTAACAACCCACAAAAGAGCACAGACGTGAGGTACCATAACCCGAGACTCTCCCTGCCTCCTGCAGCCGTTGGGAGCCAGGCAGGGTCCCGGCCTCAGTTTCCCTATCTGTCAACGACGGCGGGCCAGAGAGAAAGACTGAGTCCCGCGCTGCTCCTACCCAAGCCCTCTGGTGCAGGAGTCCCGCGACTCCGGAGCCCTCCGGGAGGCTGGAGGTGGGCAGCCGCGGTTGACGTCAGAAGCTGGTCGGCCCGGAGCAGCTAACGGGCGGGCGCTGAGGCCCGACGGTCGCCTCCGCGGTTCAGAGCGCCCGAGGCAGGGCAGGAACACTGGGAACCTAGCCTCAGCCGCACGGCCGCGCACACTCACCAGCCTGGGCCGCCGCTCAGCGCCGCAGCCCCGGCTTAAGAACCAGCGTCCCGGGCCGGCACGGCGCCCCACAGACACCACCCCAGTATTTACCTCAGGCGCGCGGCCCCCGCGCAGCCGAACCTGCTACCTGGGCCCGCCCCCACCTGCCCCGCCTCCGAACCGCCCGCGGGGAGGGAGGAGCGGAGGCGGAGAGGCTAGACGCCGCGCTAGCCAATCACGTCCAGAGATCCGTCCCTGCGCGCGCTCTGATTGGGTCTTCCTGTAACAGCCCTTCCTCCAATGGCTGCTGGCACGGTGCAGACTGAAGGGACTTTCCGCTCCGTCAAGCTCGGTGGAGCCAAAGGGAAAGCGAAGGGGCGGAGCAGAGGAGAAAGGGTGGGGGACGAGGAGCGATGGCTGATTGGGCGAAAGGCTGCTGGTGCCACATCACCATTGGCTGAAACCACACCTGGGCGGGGCGCTGTGCTCCCAGCTCCACCTTCCTTGCCCGGGTCTTGGCTCTTGGCTTAGCTGTCAAAACTGGGGTGGGAAGCGATCCAGAATAGAATTGAGAATAGTTTTCAGGATTCCATGAAAGAGCAAAGCTTAGAATTACACCTAGAGTCAATGTTTTCTTTATCAGTTTCTCAACATATAAAGTGGGAAACTCCCAACCAACAGTGCTGAGCCTCAATTTCCTCATCCGTAGAATGGAGGTGTTAGTACCACCTGTTTTACCGGATTATTGTGAAATGCTACATAGTATCTCCTAGCAGTAGGCGCTCTGTAAAAAACGAAGCTCTTCCTACCCTCAGATGGGGTCTGGGTTACCTGCTGTTTTTTGAACTTCTGTGGCCATCAATTCCAGGTTGGAGAGAGACGCCTAAGGATAAAGAAAGGCCTTCCACCCTCTGCCTTACCCAGGACTGCATCCCTGGCTACCAGCCAGAACTGAGGGTATAGTGAAGGATCTTTCAATTAGAAAGAAGGATTCTGACTCCCAAAAGTGCTCAAAATATTTAAAGAAACTCTTTTTATAATCAGCCCCAGAGCCTGGCTGCACAGGCCTTGCTTCACTGGATAGTTCTCTTAATTAATTTCTTCTCCTTTGACATTTTAACTACTAATTATGGGAGAAGGTGATTAATACTGAGAAAGAGGTGTGTGTGTGTGTGTGTGTGTGTGTGTGTGTGTTTAATCATGACACAAATTTCCCCAGTGGAGACTGCCATGCTTCTGAAAATCCAAAGAATGGAAAGCAATAAGAACATAGAAGCAGACAGACACATGGGTGATTACTAAAAGTATAAACTGACCACTCCTCTCCTTGCTGAAATCACCCAGGATGAAATTGGCATCTATTGAAAACTGAAGCCTCACCTATCTCCTGTCTTTCATTGGTATACACATATCCTGTTGCCAGCTTCCTGGGCTTAGCAACATGACATAAATCAATAGTGACACGCAGTGGCCTTGGACAACAACATTCCCCCCATAGATCTAGATTCTCCCATGACACTGGCAGGATTCGGAGAGCCACTCTGGCTGTGTAGGAGAACATTTTGCTTGGCCCCATCCAATAAGGACTAGAACAGAGTTAAGGAAGTGGACTTGAGGGATTTTTCAGTGAGTCAAGCAGACTTATTTTCTCCAGATTGTCAGAGTCCTCCCCCGTTCTGTTTTCTCTCCTCAAATCCTTTCCCTCATGCTCATTGTCCCTAAGTTCCTGGAGATGTGATTTGTCATTCCTGGCTGAAGCATCTTTATATCCTTTCTGAGAGTGGCATCTAGTATAGTTGAACACTCTGCTTCAGTAGGGTTTGCCAATGCACCATCAGTGACCACATACCCCCCCTTATCCCCACCCCTACCCCGGTGACACATGCTCACTGTGCTCACTGAATCAGGGTCAGGGCCTCACTTCATCTACAATCATCAGCTCAGCCAGACCTCACATACAGGCTCTTAGTCACCATCCAGGGTCGGTTGATACTGGCTGCCTAGAACTAAGCTGACACAATGCTGAAGCTGTGTGTTCAGGCTCAAGAGATAATATAGCCACCATGCTCTGACACACGAGAATGATGTCATTGTCATACTAGATATTATTTGCTTTTCTTCATCTTGCAGGGTCTCGTTTTGTGGAAGGGAGATTAAGGTCCAGAGTGGGAAAATAGCTTCCCTCCATCACACAGAACCAGTTTCCTCACCTGTGTTTGATTGGGATCTCTGACTGAAGTGCTTACCATACTGCCACAATCTTCCCTTCAAGTAAGGCCCAGCCCAAGTCCAAACTCTACCAGCTGTCTTTTCAGATGACTTCAGACCCCACAGATCACCTCTTGCTTCCCTGCCCTCAGCCTATCCCACCCAACCTGGCCGTGGCTCCATGCAGATCAGATTGAGTAACTGAGCAGCTACCGGGAAACACATCTAAGTAGACAAGTGAAATGCCCTGTCTGCCTTCCTGGGGGAGGGGAGCAGAGTACCCCCACCTCTGAGGTCCCTGTTGACAGCTCAGTCACGGTTAGGAAAAGAACAGTCTAAGAACTCTGAGAAGGGAGGGCTGCACTCGGAGGCAGCCTGTCAAAGCTCCTGCAAAGTAAGAGAGCAATGATGAATGTCAGCAGGGGCTGAGGGAACACCCCGAAAGGAACAGGAAGTACACGACATGGTGAAAGAACTGAGAAGGGGAAAGAGCTGTCACCATAGCATGCTGCATCAGTGCCAGGTGGGTCCCCATGCCTAGAGCAATGGGATTCCTTGAAGGGGTATTAGCCCGGTTGTGAATGTGGTCCCAAGCTGTCTCACCTAATTCCCTTACTGGATGTGTAGGAGCCCCAATGCATGGCCATTGAATTGGGTGCAGTCCTCTCTATACTGCATCCAGATAGCTTTTTAGGAGCTATTGAGCAACTCATAGTGGGTGCAGAAGGAAATATTTCTTAGTAGTACTGCCACGCGCCTGACACAGACCCTGCTTGCTCGGTACCTGTTTATTTCATATTTTTCTGTGTACTCCATATCTGTATTTTAACACAATCTAAGGAGACATCTGGTGTCCCTGTCCCACTGCAATCCTCTGCCCCCCCCTCATGAGTGGGGAATTCCAGTCACGCAGCCAGCCTCTGTGATTCCAGTCGTGTTCCCAACAATCCGTGGCTCCGAGCCACAAAGCTATGTAGACCAGGTATCCCTGCAGGTGAGGACAGGGTACCATTGCTCTCTCCACAGAAGCCCACTGTGGTGTCTTGATCATGGACGGGGAGCACAGTACTCTCTGTCACAGATGTACTTGCCTCGGGAGAAGGGACTCCTGGCACACCTGAGCACTCCATCTGGATGCTTTTACTCTGACCACCGAAAAGCTCTTTTCAATGAGATAAAAAGGGCTTTAATCATCTTGAAGCTAGCCCAGCTGAGCCCTGCTTGCCCCCTTTGAGCGGTCATCAGTATTATTATCGGTGATAAGTGATTTCTGCACCCAAGTCTAAAGCACACAGAGAAAAAGGCTTAGTGCTCCTGTCTGACACTTCTGAGCCACATCTGGAACCCATCTGGGGCAATGCGTACGCTAAGCATGCTCTCACGTCCAGTGCACCCATCCTCTCTTGCGAAGGAAGCTGTAGCAGAACCTGCTTTAGTTTCTGCTCCCATTTTTTTAAAAAAAAAAATGCATTTGCTGCTCTTTCAGAGGACCCAGGTTCAATTCCTAGTACCCACATGGTAGATCACAAACACCTATGACTCCAGTTCTAGGGGGATCTGATGCTGTCTTCTAATCTCTGAGGGCACCAGGCATGCAGGACTGCACGCAAATACATGCAGGCAACAGGCTAAGTGAGCTCTTCACTTAGTTTAAAAAAGAAACTGAGTGCCTACTATGTGCTGTGTGCCTGTGGGCACTGTCGTGAGCTTGGCCTCTGCTCTCAAGCAGCTGCCATTCCAGGGAAAGCATGTCATCCTTCTGTTGCTGTGACAGAATACGTGAGCAAATTAACTTGTAAGGAGGAAGGATCTCTGTTGGTTCCGAAGTTTCGTGGGTGCTTTGATCGGGTGCTTTGAGCCTATGGTATCAAACTATTATTAGGGTAGCAATTGCTTCCATTGTGGTGACCAAGAAGCAAAAGAGACATGAAGAAGAGTCCTAACTGACCAGAAGACTTCCTAAAAGACTCCAGCCCTTAAAGGCTCCACCACTTCCCAATAGGGCCAAAGATGGGCAAATTAGGTTTTTAAAACATGAGATTTTGAGGGAAAGTCAAGATCCAAACTCTATAGCAAGAAAAAAAAAAGGCTAATGCACCCAAAGAGTCTACACTGAGAAGACCCTGAGACAGGCGGGGGTGGGGGGGATGGAGGGGAAGGGCATACTGTTCAAGGAAGGATTTCCTCAAGGAGGTGATTATGAAAAACCTCCAAGGAAATAGGTGCAAATATACCACAGGGGATAGTGATCAGGCAGCTGTGTATGTCTGGAAGCAGTGAAGAAGCCCTCAGCAAAGGAATACTGTAGAGACCACGGTGTCTGTGACAAAGGGAACTCCAGAACAGACCCAGAATGGTCAGCAGACCTTGACTTTACTCTGCCCTGGATGGGAAGTCACAGAGGGCTTAGATGGCTAATCTTGACTTGTGTTGGTTCTACTAGATCTGCAGGCCAGGGATAGAAGCTGGGAGACTGGCTAAGGGACTGCTACAGGCAGGAGGTCCCT